TACTTTACTTAGTGAAAATTATGTGTTTAAGTTTAAGTTCTCATCTAATTCACGATAAGTGAACGATTTACCATCACCTAGTGATACTAAATATTGAGATCCTCCAGTGCTCCTCCACATAGACGGACTTTGATGTGTAATTACTAACACCATTGACTAGATGTGATAACTGAAATATAGTGAACAATAACAATCAGTGTAATGATTAGCACCATTGACTAGATGTGGTTACTGGAATATAGTGAACCATAACACCCAGATAAAACAACAAATTGGACTAAGGAAACCAACACCATCTCTAACCATTTCTACCTGTACCCAATATATAGTTGATCTTTCATTATCTAAAAAAATTTGTAGATACATGAAAACTGAAACCTTTTGTAATTTAAAAGTTTATCTGATTGATAGTTTTTGAGAAAATCAAGACCGAAGTTGAAACTTCAAGTTCACTTTTTATTAAAAAATCTGCTTTTATGATTGAACAAAAGACAATCGAAATTTCAAATTTGAACTTGATTTTTCTCAAAAACTATCAACCAGAGAAACTTTTAGATCACACAAATGATCAGAGTTCGAATTTAAACTAACCTAACCTAACCTAAGGTATTGAAATAGAAAAATTCTTACTTTTTTTGAAGCTGATTTGTGGTTGGAGTCGACTGCTGTTGGTCAGTTATTGGTGTTGCTGATGCTGGTTTGATGGAAGATGCTGATGATGCTTCTGATGCTGGTGCTTGTGGTGTGGGTTCGTTGCTGATGGTGTAAATTATCCAAATGGAACGCAAAGTCACAAAAAGTCACAAAAAAGTTAAAAAATCCAATGGTTCACAAAAAGTCACAAAAAGAAAAAGAAGATTAGTAAACAGTTTATACTTGCAAACTCCTTGCCTTAAACTTAGCTTTATGTAATCAGCAAGTTGGTTTAGCCTGAAAGAAAAGAAAAAAGTTCAAATGGGATAATAGGAAACACAAAGTTTTCGTACTTACTATAATATGATTAGAGGAGATGAAGATGAAAATTTCAAACAAGTTGGGCCGAACGATGAATTAAAACTGAAGCAAAGAACGCTCTGATTTCTCTTTCTCTTCATTCGCCCGCCCTTCTTTATCTTCATAAAACCAATTGCTCTTGTTATTTACATTCCTAAGTGTACCTTTACACGAATAAACGGCAATTAATTATTAGAATGCAATCAAACTGTCACTTCGTTCTGTATCAAAATTGCAACGATATCCATGATTGATTATAACGATCCAATTTGAGAAGCTTTACAATACTAAAAGACAATTTAATTTGCTCCCAGCGTGATTATCCTCTTTTCATCTTCTCGTAGCATTAAAGATGCAAAAATAATTAAGGTTTGTCATCTTTGGCAACAATGTCTAAAAAAGCGGTTAAAGGAAAGCTAAATCTACCCTGCAGGTTTTTCCCATAGAATTTGATTGATGTTGATTGTTAAAGTTACTTTACCTTTCTTAGTAACAGCAGTAATTAAAGTTTATCTCAATTTTTGATTTACGATCGCATTAAATCATCTTACCCTTAATCCCTGCAACGATATGTGCTTTGTCAAAGGTACATTATCAAGGTACAACGTATACATTAACAAAGGTATAAAAATTATAAATCAATATCGATAACCGAAAAAGGGTGCTATCTTGTGTATTTCTATTACTACTATCTTTCTTACTGTCTTTGGTACCAGAAAGTCAGTAAATCTCTAATTAAGCAATGATTCGTTATATTAATATTAATAAATAAAGTAATTTAAGGTTTACTCACTTCATAATAAGCCATGATATCAGAATCACCAGTACAAGGACCAGCTTGACCTCCTCCAATCCATTTCTTGATGTGAGCTTCATCAAATGATTATGGATACAATGGACTATGGACATCATCAAACTCAGCTCAACTACCACGTAAATCGTAAGTCATTACATGAATTCGATCCAAAAGTCTGTATTCATTAAACAAGATGTAACAAAACACAATATTATTTTCCGTGTTTCTTTTCAGTCATTGAAAGTTACATCAGGAAAAAACGTTTTGATGATCAAACTGTGACCGTGATTTTATCGAAAACTATCAACCAGAGGAATTTTTCTGGTTAAGAGTTTCACGCAAAACGAGCCTCACTCATTGTATTGAATTTGATTTGACTATCGTATTAAGATGAATATTGGTAGTTAGTATCTTACATATCTATTGCATTTTTAAATTAACAAAGGAAATTCAATATCAACAAAGTTAAACTATTAAGTTTAGTCATTAAAAGTCGAATCAATATTTGGCATTTACGCAAATGAAACGATTTCATTTGATGAATTTAATATCATTTGAGCAACAAATATTGCGTGCGAATTGTGAGTTGTGAAATAAGTGATTAATTGTTATTATTAATTATTAATTGTTTATTAAACATTGCATGGATTAAATTCATTTGCCTGTCGCTAAAAACCCCCGAACTCTGTACTTTCTTCTCAACTCGCACTTCACACGCAATTATTTGGTGCTCAAATGATATTAAATTCATACAATGAAAGGATTGATTCCACTTTTAATGACTTATAATAACTACATAGTTAGAGTTTAATGATATTAAATTTTTATTTATCGATTAAATATTGAATTTATATTTATGAACCTAAATTTCGAATTGAATTTTTCTTATCAAATAACGATGAGATTTCAGTGGGTAATGAATTTATTGAACAGAAACATTGAGCGAGTGAAGTTTTAAAACAAAAATAGCAAATGTTTCAATCTTTTCTTGTATTGACTGTTCAACTTTCGTTTGATTTGTTTAATAAATTGAAGATGAAACTTTTCAGTCAATGGCGAAGTTTTTCAATGTCATCTCCTAGAATCAAATTGAACAATTTACTGTTTGGATTACCGAATCAAAACTTGACATCCGAAGAGACAATCGAACAACTCGTAAAATTTGAAAGATTTTTAATATTTTTTCGTGCCTCCCTTGGGTTCATCCAAAATGTGTCTCATCGCTCAACTAAAACTGACTATTACGGTCTAATTATACGAGCAATCTGTCGAATCTACTTGATTCGTTTGATTTGTCTAGCAGTAATAGACGATGAAGATTACCAACTGTACCTAGGCGACATTGCTTACAAGACAAAATATCGATCAATGATTAACGTTTTATTTGTCATAGGCTTCCTAATTGGAGTCGGTATCAAGGAATGGTTTGTGTTGTACGATAAAAGTGGTAAAAACAGTGTTTTGACAATTTACTCGGACATAATTAACCATGGATTTGAGCCAGTGCACTTGAAAATGACTTCAAACCAAGCAATTAAATTTCATCGTACAATCCATATTCTGGTTACTCAACTCAACCGTAATTTCACATTCAGTTGTCTCTTCCTTGCAGCCGTCTACTACTCCGTGCTACTCTTCAATCCACACTTTTATCAGACCAAAGAGTTCATATTTTACAGTTTGGTCTGGAGTCTGGTCGCAATTATTACGATCTTTTCAGTGGACGCAACATATTTTGCCATTTTTGGTTATCTTATTTTGATACAAGTGTACTACCTTTTTAGGTTGGAATCAGTAGTCGAGTTGGCAGATTCCTATCGACAATTGAAATGTACCGATGAACTTGCTTCAACCTTCATCAAGTATACTTGTAAACATCTAAATCAATGGGAAAAGTGTGCTAAATTAACGGGTGTTTTAGTCTTTTGTGTGTTTACTGCCATTGCCTTTATTTGTGATTTGTTCATATTTTATGGTTTTATCATGAACTTTCATTCACCACTGTTTGCTAATTCATTTGGTTCAATTGGTTGCATTTTTTGCCTCGTTATTGCTTGCCTCTCATTAATTGGACGAGAATTTATAATTAAAGTGAGTATTGATTCGAATGTCTAACGACAGATTCTTTATCTAATAAATGCTCATCAATCATGATATTGGCTGCAGATAGAGCGTTTATATTCACGTCTCCATGTAATTTGGCGATACAATGTTTTCAATGTTTACAATCGGTTTAAGGTAAGCAAAAAATTTAAAGAAAAGTAGTGATTTTGATTGTCAACACTTGAAGATTTTACAATTAATGGAACGATTAAACGGACCGTATAATGGTATTCAATTGGGCTCAATAACTACCATCGGAAAGGACTTTTCCGTTAGAGTTAGTATTAAGTTACTTTGTTTTGTCATCATTTGAGGAAAGTTTTGTTTCAAATCAATTATGATTATTATAAAGATTGTTTGTTAAAGTGTAGATATTTAATAATAGCACAATTTATAATAACTTGATGTCTTTTCCATGCAGTTTATGTTGGAGATTGGTTCATCTTTAATGTTGTTGACTTGCAACTTCAAGCGCTATTTCTGAACATTTATAACGATTTTCTAGCTTATTGGCTCTTCAATGGGGAAAAGTCTGGCGAATCTTCGTATAAAAACCATGTTAAATCGACTGATTATTTTTCACTTTCAAGATTTGCAAGAATTGTTTTGACATTACATTGTAAATAAAAGGGGTATCTGCCACCAAAAATCGACATTATTTGATTTTGAAATTAACTTGATATTATGAGAGGGGGGTTAAAAAAACACTGTTAACTTTTGTCAAAAGTCTTTTAGGATGACGCGTTCGGCCACAATTGCGCTTCAAAGTTGAAACAATTATGGGCGATTTTTCATAAACTAATCAACCTAGAGTGCTGAAACTTGTAGGACTCCTAGGTAGGTTTAACTTAAGGATTGTAGAAGTCTTTCCTTCTGTAGATCGCTAGAGTACATTGATGTGTATATGTATGTTAAGTTTCAGCACTCTAGGTTGATTAGTTTATGAAAAATCGCCCATAATTGTTTCAACTTTGAAGCGCAATTGTGGCCGAACGCGTCATCCTAAAAGACTTTTGACAAAAGTTAACAGTGTTTTTTTAACCCCCCTCTCATAATATCAAGTTAATTTCAAAATCAAATAAGGTCGATTTTTGGTGGCAGATACCCCTTTATTGTTTCAGATCATAAATTACAAATATTGTAATATAAAAGGCATTTGTTACAATTAGTAATAATTTAAATGAGATGAGAGATGTTTAGATGAATGAAATGTTGTTTAAATGTTGTTACAATTGGCACTTTTTACATTGTAATCCCAATCACATCGGTTACCATTTGGATTCCATAGAGTTCCTGGTGGACAGTTTAGGACCATTGGTTTACCATGGACGCACCAATAATATTTTGAACAATCGGTTGGGTGAGGGACAAATTGTACTGATGCATTTGAACAATCAATGTCTTTAGAGACTGAATCTTCTTCTGATGTTGGTTTAGATGTTGATCCACCTTGGACACTTGGAGCTTTGGTAGTTGAAGATGATGAAGATGATGAAGAGGTAGTTGACTGTCTAGTTGAGGCTACAGTTGAACCTTGAGTCCACCAAGTTGGTGAAGGTTTAGCCGTTGTAGTCATTTCTGATGGATCAGGAACATTTACTTTGTAACCTTTGATATTTTCATTAATCACTTGAAGTAAACCATCTTTTTTACCGCAAACACCATTAACATCATCAAGATCTGTCACAATAAACATCGATAAAGTGTTAGTGTATCAGTTAAGAAATGAAAAGTAAAGTAAACTTACCTAAAGACCAAGTCATGGCTCCACCATAGCCTTCATCCTTGATGAACTTCATTTTAATTTGCATACTTTCCTCATCTTCATAACCTACCCATTGATCTTGATAATAAGCATAAGGAACTTTACCAACATCGTCCCATTTTCGGGTCCAATTATTTGATTTAACCTGAGTACAAATCTAGTAGAGAAAACATTTGACCAATTAATATAAAAAATATAACAATAAAGCTCAACATTGTTACTATTAAAATTAAAAGCATTCCAGCAATTGGGAAGAAACCAAGATTTAGCAAAATCTGGTTTAAAAAGTGTTTCTTCCTGACTGGAAACCTTTACTCTTTTGGGTTCATTATTATTTCTGGTATCTTTAGTTCAGCTAATGGCACGAAAGATACCAGAAAAGGAGTTAGAAGTGAATTGTTATAAATAAATTGATTTAAGTTTTACTCACTTCATAATAAGCCAGGATACCAGATTCACCAGTATAAGGACCAGCTTGACCTCCTCCAATCCATTTCTTGATTGGAGCTTTCAGTCCATTGTTGTCTTTACTACCAAGAGTATAACTTCGTCCATAGAAAGGTACACCAACAATCAACTTGTGTTTAGGTGTTCCCATTGAAACCCACAGTTGAAGTCCATCTCTCTATCAAATAAATTGAGAATCATTATATCGCTCAATATGGTTAAATTGAAAATTACATACCACATTCAACTTTTCATATGCATATTCATCAAATGATCGTGGATACAATGGACTATGGACATCAGCGAAACCAGCCCAATTACCACGTAAATCGTAAGTCATTACATGAATTTGATCCAAAAGTCTGTATTCAGTAATCATTAAATGAAAAACCAATAAAATAATTTAGATTTAAAATGGATACAAAGTATTAAATAACGTGAATAAATTACCTTGCCAAATCGTATACTTCATAACCTTCTTGCAATCTGAACTTAGCGACGGGAACAGCAGCTGATAGAATGTAGTTGTGCTTATCAAACTCAGTTCGTAATTCCTGCAATCGACGATAAAAATGAACCATTAAAGTAAACCAATGGGATGAGTAAAGTCAGGTTACTTACTTTAACCAATTTCAAGAAGTTTTCTTTGTCAGCATATTTTCCTTGACGATCAGTTGCTCCAGGATATTCCCAGTCCAAATCAAATCCATCAAACTTGTACTTTTGGAGGAAAGAGACGACCGAAGTGACAAACTTTTGTCTTCGCCCTTCATCGGAAACCATATTTGAATACTTGGCACCACCTTCAGCCCAACCACCAACAGCAATGAGAACCTTTAGTTGAGGCCATTTTTCTCGAAGAGAAACAAACTTCTCATAACCCTCTATTGAAAAGAGTACAATATTAATACATGAAAACTGGTAAAACAGAGTTGAACAAGATTTTCACTCACTTCGAACGTAATCATATTCAGGATCGATTGACTCAAGTTCAGATGTTTTCTCGTTAATACCGATGAATGAGTAAATTACATGAGTACACAGGTCGCCCGAGATACTGTCAATGTCATAATTGTACGGTGGTTTACGGTAATTGGCCCAAGCAGCAAAATAGCAAACAACTTTACCATCGGCTTGAGTTTTGTTGCAATTCACTTCACTGTAAGCTGTAAATGATTAAAGGTTAAACATATTTTACAATTTAATTTGATCATCTTACCTAAAGCTGACAATGTAAAGAGAATTGAAATTGTCAGGTTTATCATTCTAGCCATGGTTGAAGCTGATTGTGATGGTTGAAAGGTTTAATGAAAATTTGGTGAAATCATTTGGAAATGACTCTTATTTATAAAATCTTACCAAAGAGTTTTGATATTGCTGAGCAATTAGGTGAGAAAACAGGTAAAGGCGGGCAAATAATTAAGTTGAATGGTTAGTTTTCATCTGATAATTTAAAGTAACAAATGAATCCTGAAAGGTAAATTGATGGAGAGAGTGAGTGAGTTTAATTTGGTAAAAAAAAATTAACAAAATATTCCCATTCAATGGACATTGACCTGAGACCGTTGAACTTGATTAATATTATAATTGTGATTATTTCAAGAGATAAACGAGAGTTTGTTGTCACTTTAATTGTGGGCAAACATTGAGTTTGTTGAGTAAATTGTCAATCCGGATTTACTGGGTAAAATTAGATGGTCAGAGTAGAGATGAACAAAAATTGTTTCTTGTGTACATTAAAATGTCCTTTTAAATGGTTTACTTTGATTGATTATCTTGCCACAATCAAGACTATTCATTAGTAAAGGTGTTTACAGGATACACTTAATTGATCCAACTGTTGACTTCATCTATTTAGGCCTAATTTAATGGTAATTTAGACGTGTTTAAAACATTGTTTCATTGTAACATCTTTTTTCTGGTTTTCTGGTTTGTCCTCAAAAAATAAATGTGTCAAGTAAGACTTGATTAAATTTAAATGCATCACAAATGGACAAGTTTAAAGCCGTCAACAGGTACAACCCAAAGTAAATAGTGATAATGACAACCATTTTAATAGTTAATTGTGAAAAATGTTGATGATATTAAGGAGAGCTTTCACCTTGGGTGAAGTTGCAATGGGATAAGTTGTTTGGTTAAGACAGGACAGCTTTTCAGTTCCAGTTTTTCAATGAGTGTACAATTCAACTTGAATCTAGTCAATGAACCCATTTGATCAAATGTTAATGAATTTACAAATCCTTCATTGGGAGGGTTACAGTTATGATATGTTTGCCTTTGAGTCGACATCTTTAGATGATACGTTTTTGGTAGTCTTGTATGGATCAACGCTGGACAAAACTAGATCTTGATTGACAAATTGTTAATTTCAACACGTTTTATCCTAGGTGGTAACACGTTTATTTTTTTGTTATACAATAATGAATAATCACTGATATCTTATTGACTGTGGATAGGATTGAATCAGTTGTTATAGGGTTCAGTTTGAATCTTAATTTGCATGGGTTTAAAGATTTGAAGATTCGCAATTTCAACTGTAACACCAGCAAGGAGAGTTCCTTAATGCAGACATCGTATTTTAAATGGGTTAGAGATAACCAAAAAAACTTATGGTACATTTATGGTTATGTATTAATATTATGTTGTTGAGCCAATTGAAGAGTTTTCAATTGGCTTGACAACATAATTGTGAATCTTGCTTGTTCTCAGACTATTCAGTTAGAGATTCATTGATTGAATTCGAAATGATAAGACAACCCTTGTTTAAAGCGTAACATCTTCATTACTTTACTAAAACAATTTAAGCACTGAAACTAGGCAATGAGCAAACTGATCTGGAGAGTCCAAAAGAACGATCTTTATCCGAAACAATTTGTACACCCTGAAGACTTATCACAACAGTTTGATTGAAAATGAACTCTGTATGTTTAATAAAGAATAGTGATAAACGAGAAAAGCAAATGCATTAAACAATATACATTTATCATTGTAATGATTTAGGCAACAAAGAAATTCTTTTGAGTGATTAGGCAAGAGATGGACAATTAGAACCAATTTAGAAGTATCACATACTATGAGTTATCGAAAGAAGCACTGGACACTAAAAAAGAGCAAAAATAAGCAAAAAATTCAACGTTCAATTGCAGAGTTCATTTTAAACACACTGTATTTGCTATCCTCAGCTGATGTTGTAAATCACACAATTTGGTAAATGGAGCAACTGTGATCTGATATGTGCAATTGGAAATTTTTCACGCGTTTATCGCTTTATTTCCATCTTCGTATCATGAATATCAAAATTCATCTAATCGATATTATAAGTCAAAGAATATGGCCATTGTATCAATGAGATTGTTCCAACAAGAGGATCAGCTGCCTCTTATGAATAGCATCAGCTGCCTTCTTGAATCGGTAAATAATACCCTTGAATGGCTGCAATGTATTGCTGGTTAAACCAATCAAAACTATTTTTCAAAAATATAATGATAAAAAAGCAGGGGGCAAGATTTCCAGAGCATTCAGCAGTTAGCAATGTATATAAATTGACTTCAATCGATCTGTTCAGTATAGTACAAAATTATTCCGTTTGGTACGTCAAGATTCAAGTCTTTTATCCTCCAACTTATTGAATCGAATCAACCACCAACAAATCAAAATGATTAACTATGCCGATGTAATTAAAGACTACTGGACCAATGGGTATGCAGTTATTCCCAACTTTTTGTCACCCGAACAAGTTGAAATAGTTATGGATGAAACTTACAAAATTATCGATGATATCGACCTGAATGGCCCTAAAAATTTGTACAGAAGCGGTAAACAGGAGGAAACCAACGACTACTTCTTCAAGTCATGTACAAATATAAGCCATTTCTTCGAGGAAACAGCCTTTGACTCGGATGGTAATCTGGTTGTACCCAAAAGACAATGTTTACATAAAATTGGCTTCTACCTTCATGCTATCGACCCAATTTTCAAGTTTGTTACTATGGATGGTCGAATTAAAACGCTCTTCAGAGAAGCTGGATTTGTTGAACCTCATTTCGTTGAAAGTCTGGTCAATTTCAAACATGCTCGTATTGGCACCACCATACCTGCCCATCAAGATGCTACCTTCTTGTACACTGAGCCACAGATTAAACTTATGGGTTTCTGGATTCCTCTTGAAGATGCAACACTTGAAAATGGTTGTCTTTGGTTTATCCCTGGATCACACAATGAGCCTGTTAGACGTCGATGGATCCGAAACAAAGAAGGTCAAGAGCCGAGAATGATCTTTACTTGCCCAGAAATTAAATACGATGAATCCAAGTTTGTGCCTGTTCCAGTTCCCAAAGGATCACTTGTGCTTATCCATGGACAAGTTGTCCATAAAAGTGAACCTAACAGATCAAATAAGTCTCGGCCTGCTCTAACATTCCATGCATATGATGCTCATCAAACTAGTTGGTCAACTGAAAACTGGATTCGTCCTACTAAGGAAGCTCCGTTCATAAAAGTCTATTGATGTTCCAAAAGAGATGAATCACATACAGATTTTTATTGATTACAGTTTTAGTCTGAATGTTTGTCTGAATCAAAAAATGTTTGAACTGTCGATTGTAAATGATTTGGCCAACCAGCTATATTGTTGAAACGACAGTTGAATAAAATTTATTTCAATGCAAAGCTAAACTTTCCTTGTGTTTTACTAAAGCCACAATCTGTTTTTAAATGTTCAAGTTTATTAGTAGTTAAATTATTGATGTGATTCAGTATAAAATTAAATTCAGGCACAATTGTTACATTAGATCCCTTACATTATGTTTGAGCAAGTTGTTTCTGTCAAACTGGCTCTTCGATCTTGACTTTTCCAATTTGTTGACCTATTGTTAAAATTGCTATCTCGGTGAGTGTTTATTGATATGGTTTGTTGCAAAGCTGAGTTTAATGAAATCAGTTTACAATCAAACAAATATTGATTAAAAATAATTTTACCCTTGCATGGTCTTCCTCTGTATCTAGATTGTGATTGTCGGTGCTTCAAGTGATTCATATGAGTGATAAATAATAGACGTAAAGCACAATCTAACCTTGATCATAAATTGTTGATTCCAACACGTTTTTAGTAAGAAAAGATAACAAATCACGATTATTTTCTACCATTGATGTAGAGGGTGTCGCGTTTAATAAGGTGCAGTAATCTCAAACCAGAATGCTAAAAAGAGATAAAGATGAAGATAGTTGATGATTTGAATATGAAGAAACTAAACAAACACAATATTTAATTGCCATATGGACACTATCATCTTTATCCCCTTCTTTGTCTACCTGTGTGATGTCTACCCGATATAAATTTCAATACATTTTGAGAGTGTGACATTATTGGAGGTTTGACAGTAAGTGTCTAAGTGTCAAAGTAATAAAATCAGAATTGATTCGTTTGCTTTTATTGTACAACTAAACAATGGATAACAGGTTAGCAATATTACAATATAAAATTCCTTTGATGTTAGTGCAGCTAATTTGGACTCGCTTTATTTTTCCATAGAATCTTTGGATGATATTCTTGGACCTGGATAATTCTAGTTTTATTAATAAGCTATTGGTGATAAATTTATGTGAATCAACTATTTTTGTATCTATTGGATCAAAAGCCCATAAGAACACACAATTTCCAGCTCGGACTCGGTGCAAAGCAGCTCAAGCTTATGTGCTAAAATTTTTTAAACAAATTTTTGAATGTTTGTCTATTTGGCTCAGAACAACTAAATTTCAAGATGTGGCATTTCGCAAATGTATCGTAACTGGTTGAAGTAAATTCAAAGTATTACATGAGCAACCACAGATTACTTAACAAGCTGAATTGATTTTCTAGCTGGAAAAGACTGGTTCCAACAATACTCGAATGTTCCAAACAGCTAATCACCTTATTATTTCAAGTGGTTGACTGGAAACGTGGATATCATATCAGCACCCACCTAATCTTGATAGCTTACCTTCATGATTAAAATGAAAGTTATTGAAACTCGAGTTGGTGATGACTTTCATGAAACGACTTATGGGAGGTAGATTCAAAGTCTCATGCAGAGTAAGATAAGGGTGAGTTAATGTTTTGATTTGAAAAAAAAATTAAAATGTTTTTATGAAAATATTCCCATCTCAAAATTGTATTGTTTATCTAATCACCAAGCTATCATTATTTATCTATTGTTTTCAATGTTATTCTCATCGTATGAAGCAAAATATTACACAGCAAAAATTGATAATATTAATCAGAAAAAATAGCTGAGATTTTAAGGCAATCCTGATCAGATTATGGACTGAAATGGTTTTAAAATCTGTATAGCGATTGATTGATTAGTTTAATGTTCTGATGTAATTTGAATATCTCAAAACGCTTTAAAGCAAATAATAACTTCCAATCTAACAAAAAACCTTTGATCAAAATCAGGTTTGATTGGTTCTGTTTAAACGTCAAATATCAATATTTCATAATGATTTAGCTAAATGTGGATTTAATCAAACAAATAATGAAAACGAATTGAAAATATTTGCATCCATCAAAAATTGAAACTCATATATTGGAGCCAGAGGTTAAATTGATTGAATATTTCACTCTTTACATTTTTTGTTTTATTATTTTTATCCTATTCGGTGTTAATGGGTCTAAAAATTACCGTATTGACAAACTTTAATGTAAAGTGCTTTTAAGTGAAATCCATATGTGATTAGGACTAAGAAAATGAAAAAAATGTTCATTCACAATTCAAAATAAGCATCTAAACGCATTGCCATCATTAAAGGGTTCAGGTTAAGCCACATTTTACCTAAAAATTTCTCGATTGTTTTAGTTGCAACTTGTTTGGTTGTTGCTTTCAATTTCAAGAACTGAGACTTTTTTATCTTTGCTTCATGAAATATGCTGATTGTTCTTGTACTTGGAAACAATGCAACATACCATTTAATGAGAAGATACTATCAAAGGCGTTTCACCAGTAAAATTGTACAAAAAGGCGAAGAGAAACGTGCAAGAAAATCCCACTTTAAACAGTCTCGTGAAATAATTTCAAAACCTAAACAGCTATTGGTGATCTTTAAAAACAAATAGATATTGATAAAATTGATAACATATCAAAGCATTTGACGCCATGAAATTATTGAAATTGCGATAAATTTTCATATAAATAGGCTGGTGCTAAATTTTCTCGACCATCAAACATTCAGCTTCCCTCAGTTGATTCACTCTGATTTTGAGAAGTAATTTCTGCTTTTGAATTTATTCTCCTCTCTTGTTTTTCATTTCCCAAATAGATTTAGTTGAAACATAACGAGTCAAGATGACCAACTACGATCAAGTAATTAAAGACTATTGGACCAATGGTTATGCAGTTATTCCCAACTATTTAACTTCTGATGAGGTTGACAACATAATGAAGGAAACCAACCGAATCATTGATGATTTCGATCTTTCTGGACCCAAAAATATGTACCGAGCTGGTAAACAAGAAGATCCTGATGACTATTTCCTTCGTTCTGGACAAAATATACACCACTTTTTTGAAGAGACAGCCTTTAAGGATGACAAACTGGTTGTACCCAAAAGTCAATGTTTACACAAGATTGGTTTTTACCTTCATGCTCTTAACCCTGTTTTCAAAGCTGTAACCTTTGATGATCGTATCAAGACCTTGGTTAAGAAAGTCGGCTTCGTCGATCCATATGTTGTTCAAAGTATCGTTAACTTTAAGCATCCTCGTATTGGTACCACCATACCTGCCCATCAAGATGCTACCTTCTTGTACACTGAGCCACAGATTAAACTTATGGGCTTCTGGATTCCTCTTGAAGATGCAACACTTGAAAATGGTTGTCTTTGGTTTATCCCTGGATCACACAATGAGCCTGTTAGACGTCGATGGATCCGAAACAAAGAAGGTCAAGAACCTAGAATTGTATTCACTTGTCCCGAGATAAAGTACGATGATTCCAAGTTTGTGCCCGTTCCAGTTCCTAAAGGATCACTTGTACTTATCCATGGACAAGTTGTTCATAAAAGTGAAGCCAATACTTCAAGTAAACCTCGACCAGCTTACACTTTCCATGCAGTCGATTTACATGACACAAAATGGTCACCTGACAACTGGAATCAACCTACTAAAGAAGCTCCTTTCATTAAAGTCTATTAATCATGCAAAATTAGGAAAAATTACAGATGACAAGTTCTGGCCTTATTGAATTTTCTAAAAGTATAAACATATTCCTGCTCCTTTTTAAACCCGCTGTACATTCCCGCTATTAAACCCGTTCGCCACTATTAACCAGCCTTTTCCTCAATGTAACTATTTTCCCTACAGTTAGTCTATTAAACATCTTATTATTATGACACGACTTGTTTCAAATTCATTTTCTGCAATTCGATGACGAGAAATAATTTCTCAATCAGTTACATCTAATGACTTTCATTATGTATAGGTTAACGATTGAGTCAATCGATCCATTTTGAAAGACTTGATTCATTCAAAGTACTCTTTCCTTAATTGATTAGTTAATGAGAATAGAATTGAACATGAATCAATCAATAAGGAACTTTAAGCATAATCTAACCTTGAATTGAATAAATTGTTGATTAAACACGTTTTTAGTCAGAAAATGATAACAAATCACGATTATTTATTATACAATGAATTATAATGATCGGAAATCTTCACAACTGTAATTTTAATTAGCTCAAGAAGCTGTAAAAGGGTTAAACTTAGTTGAATTGGCCAAAACAATATCAATGATCTCTCTAACAAAATGTTCCAGAGAGATAGATAATCCTTTGTTGAGAAGTTAATTTAAGTTCAGTTTTATCCATCGACATGAAGCTGGTCCATCAAATGCATTGATTTCAGTGAAAAAGTTCGTTCAGTTTGAGATAAATCAGAGGAACATCATCAGAAACAATTTTAAATGGTAAACATGGAATTATTTCCTGGTCTGACCGAATACTCGCACATCAGTCATCAAACTTGCACTTTAATTCGAGCGATAAGTGTTGGTTAAAAGGATTGCAATCCACTGAATTTACCTCAATTTTAACCAATTAAAACATTCAGAAACAATTTTCTGTTAAAAAGATATCAAGAAAGGTTGAAATTAACTATTATAAATGAGATGAAGCCACTAAAAGGCTAATTTCTTGGCATTAAATTATCACTGAATCACTGAAAAAACCATTGATAGCATTGAAAATGTTCATTGATTTCAATTTTGATTTGATGAACAAATGACTGCCAAAAGTCTCATTGAAAGTACATTTTTACAAGTAAAAACTTTGCATTGAGTCAAGTGGTGTCTTGAATTGGTGACTAATTTTGTCATAGACTCGAATTGGGTTTAGTCTTGAAAGTCTCATGCAGAGCATTTGATCAGATTATATTGTTTTATCAGCCCATATTTTCAAGTGCATCAAAATGAATTGAACAAAAAGGTGGAATCAGTGCAATCCAACTTAATTTTATTTCTTTACTAATTATCAAGAGCAATTGTTTATTTCAAATAAATCCCCTTTTACCATAGCAAAATAAGTAAGATAACTGAGCAAAATTAAACTTAACACCCTTTACAATATTTGATTAGACTAATCATGTTTTATAGTTGATAGTTTATTTGAGAGTACCAGTCTATTTGCACTTGAAAGTTGATAAAATGGAGATCATATTTTAATTTCAAGCTTTCATAGCATCATTGATGGGTGCCAACTTAATTAATGTCTAAAGATTATCATTTCTATCAAAATCTGAAGAGTTCTGGTGCACTCAATGGGCGTACTTTGAATTCGTGGTAAAATCTGTTTACGAATTAAAGTATAAATTAGTATAAAAGAGTTGAGATCAACCTAAAAACAAATTCATAGTGCTTTCAGTCAATCAGACTTAATTTCAATTCTTATAAATCCTAATAAATAAAGTATAATTTATTAATAAGTCAGTGAAACATTTCCAGAGTAAATTCAAAATGAGCGGTTATGATGATATAATAAGAGACTATTGGACCAATGGTTATGCAGTTATCCCTAACTTTTTGTCATCAAATGAAGTTGATAATGTTTTGAAGGAAACCGAAAAGATTATTGACGCCATCGATCTTAATGAACATCGACATATGTACAGAGCTGGTAAACAAGAGGACCCAACTGACTACTACCTGAGATCTGGTCAAAACATCTCGTACTTTTTCGAGGAAACAGCTTTTGATAAAGATGGTAAACTGATTGTACCCAAAAACCAGTGTTTACAAAAGATTGGCTCTTACTACATGAATTGGATCCTGTTTTTAAATCGGTTACACTACAAGATCGGATAAAGACACTAATCAAGAAAATTGGATTTGTTTCTCCACACATTGCCCAAAGTCTGGTTAATTTTAAACATCCTCGTATTGGTACTACAATTACTGCTCATCAAGATGCTACCTTTTTGTTCACCGAACCTGAAATCAAATTGATTGGGTTTTGGATTCCTCTTGAAGATGCAACCCTCGAAAATGGCTGTCTTTGGTTTATTCCTGGATCACATAATGAACCTGTTAAACGTCGATGGGTAAGAACTAGTGATGGTTCTGGTCCTAAGGTTAAATTCAATGCTCCAGAAGTTCAATATGATGACACCAAATTTGTGCCGGTTCCAGTTCCAAAAGGATCACTTGTGCTAATCCATGGACAAGTTGTCCATAAAAGTGAAGCCAATACTTCAAATAAACCTCGACCAGCCTACACCTTCCATGTTGTTGATTTACATGATACAAAATGGGCATCAGACAACTGGAATCAACCTACTAAAGAAGCTCCTTTCATTAAAGTCTATTAATAATTTACTCTACAGCTTGGGCCTGATGTCTTTGAATCTTCATTCTTGTTCGTTTATTTGAATATTCTAAATCAAAATATTATCTCCATTCATTTTTGTCAAAAGTACCAAATTCAGATATCAAACAATGTATTACAATAACAGTCCAACAATAAACATTAAAGTTTATTTTAGCCTTTAAATACAGTATAATATCACGATACTAAAAACTAAACTGTTGATTCTTTTACAGTTTTCAATATTATATCACCAAATTTGTGTCCGTTCCAGTTTGCAAATGTTTTCTTGTGCTAATCCATGGAAAAGTTGTTCATTAAAGCCGTGAAGGGAAGCCAATATTTTAAAGATCCTCGACCGGCTTACACCTTCCATGTTGCTGTTTTTATGACACAAAATGACGGACCAAAGCAACCTAATAAAGAAGCTCCTTTCATCGGTTTTACTAGAAGTGTAAGTGGATAAAACTTATTATCAATTATTAATAATCAAGTAACCTGTGTGGATAATTATGGGATTTCAAACCATACAAATGCAAAATCCCATAATTTATTCACAGGTCATTGAATGAAATACATGACTAAAATTTTAGTTTATGAATTTGTCTATCAGATTAAAGATATATTAATATTTATATGTTTTATTCATTTGGGTTCTTGCATCCGAATTGATCAAGTGCAGGAAAGGTTGAATTAAACTCATCAAGTTTATCTCATGCGAACTGATAAGAGAGCTGAGTGTATATGAACACGTTTTAATGACAACTACTATTCTGTAAACAAAATTAGCTGAATTTATCACGTTTTTAATCAAATAAAGATAATGAATCGCGGTTAATATTATTAAACAATTAGACGTAATAAACGAGTACACTTATTGAATAATTGTTCCAAGTAGCCAATCTTTAACAGTAATTTTCAACACCCCAAGTAAACCAGTCAAGGCAAAAAATATTCTGGGAAATTTCCTGGATTGATTTTCAATTTCCCCTTCATTTGTTTTCAATAATTTAACAAAAGTGTTTCAATCATTTATTGTAGCTACTCATTATGCAAAATTAAACGTAAAATATTATTTGAGCTTAGCCGCATAAAACTGAAGACCAGACTTAGTCCAACACTTTTTTAATCACTTTTTTCGCCGTATTTCCCACCAAAATCTAACACAATTTATCTATCATATCAGCAAAGTGGTTAGCAATTCGGTGAATTTGGGTGACAAAAATCTTATGAAAAAATTGATTGAAATGAGCTGGAAAAAGCCTTTGAAACTGATTCATTTGTAACTTTTGACCGATCAATTTTGAGTAAAGAGTTTGATTGCTGCAAGTTGTATTTTTTTTATTGAGCTTGATCATGAATAGTAAAATTTTACAAAGAAAAGCAAGTTAATTAATTAATAAAAGAAATATTAAAGCACAATAAAATGATTCAAATAAAACTTGATCATCTTTGACTGGATTTGTAATCTAGTCAGTATTGATATCTGTATCTCTTGTAATCAAATCCTTGATCCATTATTGAATGACAAACAGTGATTATTTTGATTAATTTGATTGTATTTTCCTTTAACCATAGACACGTGAGAAGGGAAGTTTCTCAGTTGGTTGAAGCCAATTATCTGGTGCCCATTTTGTACCATCCAAATCGACAACATGGAATGTGTAAGCAGGTCGACCCTTGTCAGAGGTATTTGCCGTACTTTTATGGACAACCAAACCATGGATAAGAAGCAAGGATCCTTTCTTCGCAGTTACTGGTACAAATTTTGAGTCATCATATTTATCCATTGGAGCATTGAATGATACTCTTGGTCCTGAATCATCCTTGTTTCTAACAAATCGTCGAGTTACAGATTCCCTGTGTGAGCCTGGAATGAAATAGAGGCAACCATTTTCAACAGTAACATCAGCAAGAGGAACCCAAAATCCAGTCAGCTTAATCTCTGGCTCGGTGTATAGAAACTCGGCATCTCTGTGAGGTGTATACTCGGTACCAATACGAGGATTCTTAAAGTTGATCATACCCTGAACCACATGAGGTTTAACGTGTCCCAGACCTTTGAGCAGCGTCTTGACTCGGTCGTCAAAGGTGAGGGATTTAAAGACTGGATTCAACTCATGAAGAGCGTGGCCCATCTTGTTTAAACACTGGCCTTTAGGGACGGCAAGGTTTCCATCAGCATCGAAAGCTCCTTCCTCAAAGAAAAAGGATATATTTTGACCAGAGTTGACGAAATAATCATCTCCTTGCTGTTGTTTCCCTGTTCTGAAAACTCTTCGATGTTCATTGAAATCTAGAGAATCAATAATTTTGGAAATTTCACTGGATAAACTGTCAATTTCACTTTCGGTAAAAAAATTTGGCAGTTCGGTGTAACCTTTTTCCCAGTATTCCTTGATTTGTTGCTCGTATTTGTACATCTTGTCTGAAATGGTAAAAGCTTGGCTTGGTGAAAGGATTTACTTAGGGTAAAGGAATCGACTTATGGCAACTTGTGATCTGGAAACTCGATTGATCTGTTTATTTATATATTTGCCAACGGAAGGCGTAGCCTTCGTTACAGTAAATTTAGAGAGTTTGTCAGAGAGAAAATTGAAGATTATGAATTAATTTCAAGAGAATGATTTAGTGATTACTAACACAAACAGATAGGCACGACTCCCATGCAGAGAAAGATTATCACTTGAGTAAAGATCGCTTTTTAAAAACAATCATCAAAATAAAGATTTTCGATAAACTAGGCAATTGAATGCTAATAGATGGTAATTATTGAATCATAAATAATCTGCTCTTTTTTCTTGTGAATCCCCTGATTATCTCTCATGATATCTCTACTCTGAAGTTTGAACTGTACTCTGTGATTCAATTTTCAAAATCAGTGTTTCCCAGTGTCACTGTTTTTGTTATGGTTGCTATTTTCAATGACGTTTCTCCATTCTGATTAGATTGTGATTCAATTAAAATGGAAAACGAGTCTTATGATTGAACAAATCAATCGATGCAATCAAATCAGTAAAATAAATTTAAAGAAATAAACAACTCATAACTCGTTAGACATTGAATTAATAGAGTAATCGAGTTGAACCTCATTTGCACCAGTAAACACCAGTACACCATATTGAGTAAAATTGGGTAAAATTTAATGATATCAAACTGTCCTCTTGTTGCTTTGAAGAGGTGACTTTTCTTGGAGCCTTTTTTAAATTTATCAGTTAATATTGTTTTGAGATCTTTTTGTTTTGAAACAAATTATCTAAAATTATATAAGATCTGTTGAAAGTGTATAATCAACTTCAAAAATTATCAACACTCTTTCAAGTTTGATGCGTGTGTTGTAAATATCGGTAATTATGATCATATCTATGACTCCCACTACAAATATCAAAGCGACTTGGAGCTTGAAACTTGGCAAATGATCCAGAAAACTCTTTCTTCAACCGGATCCGAACAATTCATCGAATCGTTCATAGTTTTGTATTTTCAGTGATAAAAATTTCTTGACAACATTATTACGAATCGATAGATATTTATAATGAGCGGTTATGGCGATATAATAAGAGACTATTGGACCAATGGTTATGCAGTTATCCCTAACTTTTTGTCATCAAATGAAGTTGATAATGTTTTGAAGGAAACCGACAAGATTATTGATGGTATTGATTTAAATGGACATCGTAACATCTATAGATCAGGAAAACACGAAGAACCTGATGACTACTTCCTTAATTCCGGTCAAAACATATCGTACTTTTTTGAGGAGACAGCCTTTGATAAAGATGGTAAACTGGTTGTACCCAAAAACCAGTGTTTACATAAAATTGGCTATTATTTACATGAATTGAACCCTGTTTTTAAATCGGTTACATTAGATGATCGGATAAGGACAATCATCAAGAAAGTTGGATTTGTTGAACCTTATTTAGTACAAAGTATGGTCAATTTTAAACATCCTCGCATTGGTACTACAATTACATCTCATCAAGATGCCACCTTTTTGTACACTGAACCTGAAATCAAATTGATTGGGTTTTGGATTCCCCTTGAAGATGCAACTCTCGAAAATGGCTGTCTTTGGTTTATTCCTGGATCACATAATGAACCTGTTAAACGTCGGTGGGTAAGAAATAAGGAAGGCCAGGAACCGAGGATGATATTCACTGCTCCTGAAAATGAATACGATGAAAGCAAATATAAAGCTGTTCCAGTTTCAAAGGGATCTTTAGTGATCCTCCATGGACAAGTTGTTCATAAAAGTGAAGCCAATACTTCAAACAAACCTCGACCAGCTTACACTTTCCATGCAGTCGATTTACATGACACAAAATGGGCATCAGACAACTGGAATCAACCTACGAAAGAAGCTCCTTTCATTAAAGTATATTAATAATTTACTCTACAGCCATCAGTCCGATGTATTTCTTGAAATTCAAGTTTCAGATACTAAACAATGCAACAGTCCAACTTTAAACGTTTATTGTAGCTTTCACAGCATAATATCACGATACTAAGAAACTAAACTGTGTTAATGCTTTTAGAGTTTTCATATGATGGATTAGAAAAATATATCTTAAAAATTAATCTTGTAAATGCATATGTATATTGGGTTAATCTCTGAATCTATTGAGACTAACAAACTCAATTTTAAAGAATTTATAATAAAAAATTGATATACGCCTTCATTCTTCTATGTATCAATAGACTCGACAAAAAGGAAGCTTTTCTGTAGGTTGAAGCCAGTTATCTGGTGACCATTGTGTTTTATGAAAATCGACAACATGAAATGTGTAAACAGGTCTAGGTGATAGTGATGTATTAGACCCACTTTTATGAACAACTAAACCATGGAGAAGTACTAGTGATCCCTTGGAAACTTTGAGAGGAACGAACTTTGAATCATCATATTTAGCCTTAGGAACATTGAATGATGCTCTCGGTCCTGAATCATCCTTGTTTCTAACAAATCTTTGTGTTACAGGCTCCTTGTGTGAACCTGGAATGAACCAAAGACACCCATTTTCAATAGTAACGTCCTCAAGAGCAAGCCAGAATCCCGTAAGCTTATCGACTGGATCAGTGTACAGGAATTCTGCATCTTTGTGAGGTGAAACCTCATCACCAATATGAGGGTGTTTGAAAATGACCATACTCTGGATAACATGGGGTTCAACGCATCCTAAGGTTTTTAGGATGCTTTTAATTCGATCATCAAACGTAATTGCTTTGAAAACAGGATTCAATGCATGTAAAGCATGTCCTATTTTGTTTAAACACTGGCTGTGAGGGCATGTAAGGTTTCCGTCAGAATCAATAGCTTTCTGCTCGAAAAAGAACGATATTTTATCACTTGAGTCAAGAAAGTAGTCATCACCTTGTTTACTTTTTCCAATTTTGAAAACATTCCGGTGTTCATCGAGGTCCAGAGTATCAACAATTTGTTTAGTCTCTTTTAAAACATTGTCAACTTCTGATGGGGACAGAAAATCAGGTAACACGGTATAGCCTTGAGACCAAAATTCTTTAATTTTATCGTTGTATTCAGCCATGATCAACTGGTGCCTCCGTTAAGTCCTTTTGATTGATTTGCACTTAAATGTCGACCCTGGAAAAACCATAAACAGCGAAAAGTGGCTAAGAGCAAAAACGGCTAAAGGTGTTAGTAAAGGCGGAGTAAGCTGTTTTCAAATCACTTTAATTGAAATCAATTTTAATTTACAACAATTGATTCTTAACAATTGATCATAATTTTGATACAAATTGATGTCTTAGATAATTTTTTCAGTAGTCCTTATTGAGAACGAATTGAAATTAGATATGATTTAAAGTTGCTATGTGTTGAACTTATAAGTTGAAAGTACAATAGCTTTGTACGACAGTTTATTTAGATCTCGGCTTTCTGATATTTATTGTTAAAAATGGGTGAATAAACAAAGATATCGATCACTGATGCTGAAAAATTGTTTATTAGCTTAATTAAAAGTGGAATTGTTTAAAAGATTTAACTTTGAATCTTTAAAAATTTAAAATTTGTGCCATTTACAAGTGAACTTATGTGATGATCCCTGAAATCTGGAAGAAACTGTTTCCCTGGTTACTCTAACCTTGGCTTGTCCTGGTCTGAGTTACTGTTGTCAGGTTTATCAAATTGTGATTAAAATCAATTCATCTGAATTATTTACCATTGACTTGGTTATTATTTAATTAATTATTTGTTTAATCATTATTTCAACATCATGAAGGGTAAGCTTGCGTTATCCGGTCTCATGAAGAGATCCTTTGCTGCCCAAGCTCAAGCTGCACGTAAAAGTGAGCCTAATCATTTGGCTAAAGGTGAACTGAAGACTAAAGTATTACCTAATGGTATGACTGTAGCTTCTCTAGAAAATCTTTCACCTGTCTCCAAGATTGGTGTATTTGTTCGAGCTGGACCTCGCTTTGAAACTTCCAAAGAGGCTGGTGCATCTCACTTGATTCGATATGCAGCTGGAATGCATACACAAAATTTCACCATTTTTGGTATAACCCGTAACATGGAATACTCTGGTGCTTCTCTTACAGCCTCCTCTACCAGAGATGACATTATTTATCAAATGAACGGACTACGTGAATCTATGAAGGATAATTTCAAGTACCTTGCTGACACTATCGCTCGACCAGCTTTTAAATTCTGGCAACTTGACGATTATAAGTATCGATTGGAAGTGGAGATTGAACGATCCAAACTTGACCCACAACAAGTTCTTTTAGATGAAGTTCATCGCATCGCTTTCAAAGGAGGTTTATCTAATTCTCTATATGCTAGCAAGGAGGTTATTGAACATCATGATCCAGAACATTTGTCCGAGATGCTTCATCATTACCATAGCAGAAATTTTATGAACAAGCGAACCACAGTCATTGGTATTGGAGTTGACCAGGATCGATTGTTAGAACATGTTGAGAAAACTTTCGGATTACCTGATCTTTCTGGTCCAGAATTAGTAAAATCTAAATTTATTGGAGGTGAATCAAGGATAATTATGGATGCTGATCGCGATCAGACTTTTGCTGTTATAGGTACCGAAGGAGTGAGGTATTTAACATTCTTAATCTTGTTTAAATATTACTGTTGAAAAGTGACCGATATTAACTCTAATCTTTTCTTTATCCAAGTGCTGAAAATCTTAAAGATGTTGCCACATATACTTTATTACAAGCTATCCTTGCAACTGGAGTACACACAAAGAAAGGTGTTGGAGCAAGTAAACTAGCCCAAGCAGCAGCTAAAGTAGCCAAAGCTCCTTTCAGAGTTGACGGTGTTAATATCAATTATGCCGATACTGGTCTCTTTGGTTTTGCTATTGCATGTCATGCTTCAGAATCTGGTGATATCGTCAAAGCTGTTGTTGCTAAAATGAAGGAGACTTGCAAAAATTTGAAAGAGGAAGATTTACAACACGCAAAGTAAGTGAAAATTAATATTTCGTGTCATACTTCTGTGAAAATGTTTCTAATCTTGTCTGTTTTCCCTTTCTTTTCCAAACAGAAATCGTGTCAAGGGATCTTTTGCTTTGTCTCTCGAAGACCAAAACAACCTTTTGGATCATTTGGGTATGATTCTGACAAATCATAATGAAGTTAAATCAGTCGATGATATGGAAAAATTGGTTGATGGAATTACATTAAAGGATGTTTCCGCGGCTGCCGCAAAGATCATGAAAACAAAGGGTACTCTAGTGTCTGTGGGTAATTTAGATAATATGTGCTATTTAGATGAGCTAACAGCCTAATCAATTCCGATAAATAAAATTTTAACTGAAGTGTTGGACGTATATGACAAAGCTAATGTGAAAAATTTGAACCCTTAAATTCCCTACTCTGAATTAGAACATGTAAATTAAACTATTGTTAATCGATTGCCTCAAATCGAGTTTGGGTTCGTATGTACAAAGTAAATCTATATTTATCCTTCATTTCTGTTCACCGCAAGATTAAAGAAATTCAGACGAGCCTGTTTTATTTAAACATTTTAATATTTTTTTAAATTTCTTCTATCTATTATGATCATCAAATGAGATTGCTTCAAATTTAAAAGTAAAATGATTCAGAAGAAATTAGTCAAGTAAAATAATACAATTGATTCAAATCAATCGAAATTGACGAATAAGATTTTAAATTTGTAACTAATGAAGAAAAGGCAAATAGATTCATGAAAATTAACTTGAAGCAAAATCAACTATTCATGAATTGAGATGAGATTCATAATTTATAATATAAACATAGTTGACTGCTTTCATAAAGTTACTTTTTTTATAAAAATAAATAATTTTGATTTAATTAATGGCATCCACAAGATTTAACGACCATATTCCTATACTTTTTGAGGATCACATTAGAATTATCATCAAAATAGAGAACCATAATAGAAGTCAATTTGGTGGGCGCACAATTAGCTTTAGGCACTTTGTTTGGGTCCATTGTATGAACGAGTGTTTGAACTATGGCATGATTGGTGGCATTCATTTGAGCAGTGAGTGGGAAAGAACATTCGCCATCACAAAAGAATGCTGCATATCCATCGGGGGCAATTATCCAATCTTGCCACCCGAGATCTTTGAAGCTAACATATAAGCTCTTTTTTTGGCAACTGCGGCTTGAAACGAATTCCGTAAAATCTATAGAATAAAATTTAAATGAAATCTAGTAATCGTTAAAATTAAATATTGACTATGATAGCTTACCATAATAAGGATTATGAGGTTTAAGAGTAGTCACTTCTTCACTACTTTTTGTATCTCTTTTTTTTCGATGTAGCAAATGGGATTGGCGTTCGAAGAAAGCAAGAACAAAAGGTCGCTTATCTTCAATAGGATCACTTAGCCCAATGTCCTTTGGGTCAAGCTCTTTGCCTGAAATTAGATTGATGATTAGTTTTCATATTTGGGAACTTGAATACAACATACCAGTCGATAGCGAGAATACAGTCACATAAAGACCAAGATTGCTTAAAGGATGATCAATCCATTCTTGAATGGCACCAGTGATATTAAACATTAGCCAGCCTTGTTTATAAGAAAAAGTTTTAGAATCTATCAAGCGAGATTGCCTGAAAACGGGATAAAATACATATTAATATATGATACAATTGATAAATCTCGTTTCACAAAGATAACTCACTGATTATCAAGATCAGTGATCATATCAATATCTATCTTGAGGAGATCAAATATTGCAGTTGAAGAACGAGTTGCGCCTAGGAACAGTCGTAACTCAGCACTTAAGACTTTACTGCCTGGAGCTATTTCCCTTGTATCAAACCAGAGATCAGACTCTTCATCATGTCCAACATGCGTCACATGTATTGGAACTAAAAAGAAAGCAAAAGGAAAAAGAAGAGAGAACAAATTAGTTATCACATAATCAAATCAAATCCCGCCAAAGTCAACATACATTTACTAACAAAGCTGACAATTACATCTGACTCGTTAAGAGCTTTAACACTTGGTCTACTTAAAACTTCGCCTTCAACGATAACAGGATGAGAATCATCGAAATTAAGATTAGCCGTTTCTTCATTGAAAAACGATTGATACAAATTTTGAAGGTAAACGGATGAAAACAAATCTGTAACAAAGTAGAAAAGAAAAGAGAAGAAACAAATGCATGTAAATGATTGCAGAATCAAAAAATAAGATAAATTATGAATAGAACCAAACAAATATGACAAATTGTTCACCATTCCACACCATGGGACATCACACAGAGATAAAGGTACGGATAAAGAAAAGATCGAAGTATTTTCGTCGCAAAAGCATAAAAATCACAAAAATAAACATTAAAAAACACTTACCTTTTCTCTTTGGCTTTGGTCTATGATCTAATCCGAACAGATTGAGCATCTGATATTGAAGTTGCCGCTTTTCTGCGGCCGGTAAAAGCTTATTAGTAATTAAAGAAATTTAAATGAAATTTGAATTTGATTTAACTCTTCTATTGAGGGGTCGTTGAAAAATTGATTCTCATTATCTGGTATTCTCATTATCTGGTAGCTTACTGTATCAACAATGTTTCTCCCTCCTCTCTCTTCCCACTCTCTTTCTCCTCCTCTCTTATCCTAGTTTATCTTTTTCTCTGTTAAAATGATGCTAACAAGCAACAGTAAGTTAAGCTTAAGGTGCGTTAACGCGCTAATTATAAAACTCTGAGAAAAACAAACTTGCTGAAAAAAATTCAGGCTTTACAGGTAAATTGGTTTCTGCGCATCAATAAGGGGCTCAGCTCCCCCTAAAGGAAACTTTGTTAACCACCTGTAAGAAACCTGGTCTTATGATAACATTCAACAGTTTCAAGACTTGTTGCTCAGTTCAACTTTATTTTTGTGTATATTTTTCCATCTTTGCATGATTGTTCATCCGAATGTTAAAATTGGCAATTGAACAATGTTGGCTTCAACATGGTTTACTACAAACCTAGTTGTACATCTATTCCTATTGATTCCATTTATTCATGGGTTTTTAAATTTTTACATCGACAGACAAGAAGTTCATCGTCTGATAGGTAAGTCAACCTTTCTCATCTTTTGCTTTACCTTTTTTACCTTTTCTTTTGGTATTTCTTATTTCTTTTAACATTTCCAGCTTCACCTAAGATCATCATTTATAGTTTAACTAAACTAGTCAAATTTTAATCTTTTTCTTGGATTCTTTATATCTCTTTTTTATTCGTTGCTCATTCTCTTTCTCTCACCTATTCTATTCACCTTTTATAAATTTGCTCTTCTCACTGACCGTGAACGTGATTCCAAAATAAATCATGTGGATACTTTATGCTGACCGCAAATAGTTTAACTCACAGATAATGATTCACTTTGTTGACGGCAATCTTTAATAGGGTTGCCAACTTTATCATTATATTTCCATCAAATTATTTGAGCGAATAGAAAATTTTTTCATGAAAATCAATAGAGTCAACATTTTTAGACAACAGCAGTTTAGAAGTTTTCAAATCATTCTTAGTTTTCTCATTATATTTTCATGTTTTGAGTAATCTGCCGGTGAAAATTTACTTCTGCTTAGTTAATTTCTTGAAGCATTTTCGATTAGTTTATTTCTTTATACCTGTAATAAACATCCAGTCTTCATAATCTACATCACATTATCTGAACTCCTATCCTTTGCTTCCTAACTTAAATTCAACATTTGAAGCCATCAGTTTTTAAAAGGAGACCTCAATATGTCGCTAGTTTAATCAACTTTGCATGAATTTGCATTGAGCAAACCGGATTTTTTCCTTAAATTTTGTTTAATGGTTTTTTAATTTCACCCATTCTAGGCCTTTCTTCTGATATTTATTATGTCAAAGATGGCGTGGTCCAAGAATATCCACTTGGATTTGAAATGAACATCCAGCCTCACATCTGTGATCTGAATTTTACCTGGAAAAACTTAATCAAAAAAAAGGTAATTACTCAACGTTCACAATGTTTTCACATTCATCATTCTAAGCCATGAATGTAATTTTTCCGATAACTCTTCTGTTATTTTTTCCTCTTCTAGATGCCTTATTCAATAACTTTTCATTTTGATAATCTTCATGTTCTTGGTATGACTTACATGAATATTTCTCGACAAGGTTTTGTTCCTACTGAAGCAGAAGGTAATTAATCAAGAATCAAACCGTAAACGACTTTTTGATTGCACATTAAAGATGTGAAGATGTTTGTTCACTTATTGAAGGATAGATAAAATTCTCGATATAATCTCTCATCCATTCACTCTTGGATGAAAAAAATGTTATTAACAGCTTAACCTGAATAATTTTTTCTTTTCTTATTGTTATTAATGTTATTAATGTTTAACTGCTATCTTGGCGGGTATCTCTGCTTCCAGTCTATCATTGTCAATAAATTATCAAGTCTTGAGATAAATCAAAAAGTCAATTGGAAATGAAAAACAGTCAATTGCAGGCAAAAACATAAATGATAACATTCATCAACATTTCTACATTATTTCCAAAGACAATTACAATCTATCCGAGTGTCTCTATTTGACTTTTTTACAGCTCTTTAGATCAAGTACAGCCAAAAATGAAATTAGCCGTTCAAGAGTCGTGCAAACATCTTTTAATCATTAATTTGTAACCAATGAAAATAGCGACATCAATTCAAATGCTAGATATAATCTCAATGGACCCATAAAACAAATTATTATCAGACGCGTCTAATGTTGATCTTTTTTCCTCTTCTTTTCTCTAAACAGTTTTCAGTATTGGTTTTCCATGTACAGGTAAAGAAGATGCCGAAGTCCATGTTGCCATTAATGTAAACATCACTGTGATGGATTCCCATGAAAAAGTATTCCTAACATTACGTAGGAATCGCATTTGTTCCGCCGGTCTAGCTCATACTGTTTCAGAAGATGCCTATCACTTGTTAACCTCACCTTCTCGTCGCCAACTTCACTCGCTTTACATGGCACTCTTCTTCTTGTTCCTATTTGTCTTCATATTTGCCATCATTATTTATTGTTGCACTCGCATTTGCCATTGAACCAACCAGCCAAATTTACCCTAAAAAGTTGTGGGATCATGAGGGTTTCCTTTTCTGATTAGTGACCTGTTCCACAACTTGGCCACCATCTCCATCACCATCATCACTATTTTACCTCCAAATTAATTCTGCAGCAAATTGTTGCAGAACTTGTTATCAATATAAGGTGCATTATTGTTGAACTTAACCTTATATCTTTTTTTAAAAATCAAACAAAAAACCTACCTGATTCATACTTATTATACTCAAAATTGTAAATAGAAATTTTGTATCATGAAAAGTCTTGAAAAGACACAATTTTAATAAAGTGTAATTTGCTGATTTTTTATATTCACCATGAAGTACCTACACTCAATTCAAAATTGATACTTGCAAATAATGTTAGTTAATCTATTATTAAAAAACAATCATCATCATTTTCGGTATCCCAATCAGTTAATGTGAAATTAACTTGGCAGAGAATCTAATTTCTTAATCTTTAAATTAACCATTAAACGTTTCATTCAACAAATTCAAATTAGCCCACCATTAAATCTAAATCAAGTATGGGCGTTTGTAAATTGATTGAAATTAATTTCAATTTCCACAACCAGTTGAAATTATCAACACTTTGATCCTAAATTTGCTTTCCTTTTAATCTGAAAGTTCAGGATAACCTCTTCAAGTTGAGATAAATCTTGCTTTTCACATCTTAAACACTACATTAAATATCTTTGGTTTATTTTGCAAAACATTTCTACCTTTCAATAGTGTAATTATGTTTACAAATGATCTTTTATAATATTATCACAGCAATTAATAAGCTCAATCTTGATCAATTCAATAAACATTAGCTAAGCTTATTGCCAATTAAGATGAAAACAGCATAAAGATAATAAACATTTCTTGGGAAGATATAAATTTTCAATATCCGATTGGAATCAATTAGCATGTGAATTGCCTTTAAAGGTAAAAAATTTATTTTCTATTTCCGTCAAATTGAGTGGAAAATAAAGATGATTCTTGAATTAAAATTACACCTTTTGATTTTTGTGAAATTGAAGGTTGATACAGTTTGAATATATTAACAATAAATTGCCATTATGAAGTTTGCATATGAATAAAAAGCTAATAATATGAACGTGTTCTCGGCGTTTAATGATTGACAAACTGTTGAAGTTTAGACTAATGAAATGTTGACCAATTGGTCAACCTATCAACTCAAGTCGTGTTTCAATTCAATTTCACGCTATTGTCTGACTTGTTTGTCAAAAATGCATCTAACCTCAAACCGAAATGACCACAAAGAGCAAAAGTAACCTTTATAACCAATAAAACCTTTGTTTGTGTATCAACTGATGTTAACTAATGCACTTGTTAGGTTCATTATTGGTAGATTAAGATTGTTTACTTTTAATGAATAGTCAAATGATTCGAGTCGAGTCATGCAAAGTTATCACATCTCTGTTACTGATATAATCAGATTTCAATGCAAAAGATCCCACTGACAGACAATACTTTGTAAATCCAACAAACAATAGTTTATTTTGAAATTATCAAATTTGTATTGAATTCCTATCAGTGACTAGTGAGTGCCGAGATCTTGTACTTTCCCATTTCATCAATTCACACACTAAAATACCAATTTACACTCAATAGACGTCCATAGATATACAAAATTTAGATTTCAATCAGATTGATAATAAAATCAGTACACATGTTGAGGTAGGTTGAGATTTTGAAATGAAAAGATAGATTAATCATTGATAATATTTAATCATTTCAACAATTGCATATAAAAATAAGAACCAGAGTTGAAAGATTTTATTCACTCCTTGCATGTGTAATTGCAAATATTGAATTACCCTTTTACAATAACCATTGCTAAATAGCTATTGTTCATTTCAATTTAGTTTGAAGTTTGTCAAAGTTTTTTCAACAATTAAGATTGAATATTTTCGATTGATTCTGACAAAATGATCAAGTTAAATTTAATTTTGTTGCTTCTGATTTCATTCTCGAAAGGTGAGTCTTGGCATCTAAAACTTGTATGTAAATCCAATTGAATATCTTTTTCTGATATCTTTCAATTTATGATTTCTTTGTAGTGCTTTTGGTGAGCAGTCAAAAATTGGAATGTGATTTTACAGAAGACTTCTGTGACTGGAATGATCAAGAGGTTCCAGGATGGAATCTGGGCGAATATGGTGAAGTTGAGTTTGGAAAACCAGCCAAAAGAATTGAAAATGGTGAGAAAGTAATATTCAACTGATAAACCTTTTTTCATTTTCGACTTCTCTTGTTAATAATACTTAGGTGGTGGATTCATTTATACCGAAAGTCCAAGCAAAACAAGCGTTCTAGAGTCACCGATATTTCCAAACTACAAAGAGCCCTTTTGCTTGATCTTTAATTATTTCATGTTTGGTTCATCAGTTGGATCTTTAGAGTTACAATTAGAGTCGGTAATTGGAGCTGATATCTCAAAGTTTAACCAAAATGGACAAACTGTTTGGAGACAAGAAGGATCCAAATATGATGATTGGATCCTTGGTAAATATTATTTTGATCCTTCACAGCACAATGGTGACATGTTTAGGTTAAAGTTTGTAGCAACATCAGACGATATTGCTTTGGGTTCAATTTTAGATAAACCTGGTTCTTGTGATTTTGATTATAAGTGTGATTTTGAAAATCCGTCCTTATGTTTTTGGAAAAGTGAACCTGATTATAACATTAACTTGCGATGGTTTGTGTCAAATGGATCAAACTCTCAACATGATTTAGTTGGTTTCGATGCAACAACTCATTCTGCAGCTGGACATTTCATGAGAACTCACTCGAATGGATTTGGTAGCTCATCAAGTAATCTAATCTCAACAAATTACTTATCATCAAGTGAAGCTAAATGTTTATCTTTTCAAGTTTTTAAGCAACAATTTGATTCGGACCTTCTACAATTCGCTATTGAGTCTGAATCAGGTTCTCGCTCTGCAGTCTGGTTTCAATCCTATATTGTCAATCAACGATGGGTTAAAGTTAATTTAGATATACCAATACAATCTAAAACATTCAAACTAATCCTTTCAGCCCATCATCACACAGAAAGATCAGCCCCAATAGCGTTAGATGAAATAACAGTTAGTCCTCAGTCTTGCTCCTCTCTTGGTTCATGTAACTTTGATTCTGGTTTATGTGATTATACAATTAAAAGCGGGGAACTACTTGTTGGTTTTGGACGACTACCTGATCCTACAGCAATCAAGTGGACTCCACTTAAAAATATTGACCCATATGATTTATTTGTTTACACAAATACGCAAAAAAATAACGAATCTGCTGTCTACTCATTGGAAAGTCCTTACATTGAACAGACGATAGGAAAAACCTGTTTAACCTTTTCATTTGCCTTTACATTTCTACAAAAAGGTACTTTTTTGATAAAATTAACTTCAGGAGATTCATTAGAGAGCAAGACGATTTGGTCATTAGATCCTCCAGTATCAGAAGAAACATGGAAAACAATTCAAGTACCTTTGCCCTATTCTGATAAGTTTTACAAGTATTCATTTGAATTCAGCGGAGTTCAACTGTTTGCAGCTATTGATGATATTGTGTTAGACTCTTGTGATACACAACAAGAGACTCCTGTTTGCTCTTATGGTGGTTTGGTCGATCAAGATTGTATTGAAATTGTTCCTTCTGCCTTCAACAATTGGTTTTTCAAGAAAACTAGCCAATTGGGTAACTCGTTGGATCCTGCTTATAAATTTAAAAACGATTTGGTTTTGTTTTTTAATGAACCAGTTTCAGCTCAGATTAGCTCATTTTCCCACTTTTATGTTCCTAATCTAAAGTCAGATGTCTCTTATTGTCTCAATTTTTGGTATTTAATCAATGGAAATATTCAATTGAGTCTATGGACAGATAAAGTAGATTCAAATTTCGACCAACATCTTCGTAAAACACCAATCGTCACATTGAATAGTCATTCTGGTTCGAGCTGGGCTCAAGCAAAAATACCACTGGATGATATATTTGAAGACAGTAAATTAATTTTTGGCGCCGGTTATGCAGTCAATTCTCAAGGAACAATTGCTATTGATGGATTAGAATTGAATGAAGGAACATGTTCATTCGATTATTTCTGTGATTTCGAGGATTCGTGTTCATGGAATAACCTCGGAAAAGATAAATCACTTACTTTAACTGGATCAGGAATCACATACAAATCAACAACTGAATGGATCAAAGTCAATGCAAAAAATTCAGGCCCTGATAGAGACGCAACATTAGGCTCTAGAGATGGTCATTTCTTGACATTGAAGAGTGTTAATGAAAATGCGATTCTTACATTACCACCATTTTATCTGTCTAAAAATTCAGCTGAAATGTGTTTTTCTGTCAAAACGTATACTTCTGGACAAAGCACTATTGAGATAATAAGTGAACAAGGCGGTGTGCTCAAACTGATTGAACAAAAGTCAATGAATTCGATGAATTGGGAACTTTTTCAATCGGTTATAAAGTTGGATCCCAATTCATCTAAGGTCGGACATGTTCATATTGTCGGTAGTGGTAGACTTGCTATCGATGATGTTTCGATTAGCCAGGGTAGCTGTCCAATAGCTGGACCTATTTTCACTTGTAAAAACGGAAAACAGTTATCAACTCTTCAAGTCTGTGATTTCATTTCAGATTGCCCGGGTGAAGGTGAAGATGAACATAACTGTGGTGGTTGCTATTTCTCGTATGATCTTTGTGGATATACTCATGATAGCAATGCTGAATGGTTCGGTGAAAATGGCAAGGCAAGAGCGAAAAGTTCAGATTTTGGTAAAACACACACTAAACTTACAAGTCCAACTCTAAGGCCAACTGCGCCAACTTGTAAATTGCAGTTTGGATATGAACACAAAGCTAATGATTTAACAGTTCTCTTGGTGTTTCAAGATGGACGAGCTGTTGAAGTTTGGACAAATAAAATGTTGACGGATTGGGACAAGGGGACTGTTGAAATCAAATTAGGTCGGATTCCGGTTCCATTTGCTGTTCAATTCTACAGTGTTCTTAAAAATTACTTTTTTGTCAAAGATGCGACGAGTTTTGGTCCAGTGCAGTTTATTGACTGTGGCTACCAGGATACTATTGATAGCTTCGAGTCAAGTGAAATTTATAATTGTAAAAATGGAAGGCGCATAAGTCAAGATCAAGTGTGTGATCAATCAATTGATTGTTTCGATGGTGACGATGAATTCAATTGTGACAAATACAAGATTTATTCATTTGAAGATAGCAGTGATGCTGAGTGCTGGACTAATTTGTCAAATAATAATATAAAATGGAGTTTTGTTAAAGCTTCTGGACAAATCTCTTCAACACCACCAAGAGATCATTCAACAGGATTAGAAAATTCGGGTTACATGGCTATTTACCCATTGCATGATCAGCAATCGGACTTTTCTTCAGCAAAGGAGGTTAGTTTAGTTGGTCCCAGGTTAACATCAGTCGATAATTGTTTCATGGTCTTCTATTATAATACCGCTGGAGTTGACCTTATAGTTTCAGTTTTCGATAACAATTCACGCCTTCAGAAGTTGCTTGAAATACCTGGTGATCTTGTTTTTGGCTTCAAACGTGCGAGTGTAAAACTAAATAAGGGGATCGTTTCTGGTGTATTTCGTTTTGTTTTCACGGCTAAATATTCAGCATCTATAAAATTGGACTATAGTCAGTTTGGAAATCCATGGACACGGATTTCCGATAATTACTATGCTGCTGTTGATGACATTGTTATTAGTGGTTCATGTTTTCATTGACCGAAACGGAATGGTTTTGTCATTTAACACGAAAAAGAGAAAGTAAAACATCAAACAATACTAGCTAATATAAAGTGATCTTTAATTATAACCCATTTTATTATGAGTTTTTTAGTGCATCAACTGACATACACATCGACTTATTGTATTGACAAATGAATTAAAGATCTTATAAGCTCATTAAAGGAGTAATTTTTCTCGAGCTAAGAAATGTGATATTTAATTTAACATTTATAATACATAAAATTGATACCAGCGGTAAGGGTAAACGAGAACCCGTCAGCCCACTTTTTCATCTTCAGTCTCAGCGCTAAGAGCTGACTCAATATTCGATATTTGAATCAAATCTGATTTAACCTAAACTAATCTATCTCAGACAGTAGTGTTTCATACGCTTCTAAACCATGTTCCCCCCATTTTGATATCAGTATTACCTTTATTCCATTCTAGCACTAACTCAGTCACTTTATTAAAATCTGAAAATTAAAATTTCAGTTAAATAAACTTAATCAAGCCTACACTGATTCAAACATCATTTAAATTGAAAAAATGAGAATTTCGGAATTTCGTATCCTTTGTGACAGAATATTTTGAGAAAATTGAATCTCGACGGGAATCTCTCTATCGAACTGATAGTGGACGATGTACAATTAAGATAATTGACTTCAAGACATTTAGTAATTATATTATTTTCTGTTTCAACAAACGACAGTGAAAAGTGAATCATTAACGCTTATTTGATTAATAATCGAGGATAAAGTGGTTAATTCAGCAAGAGTTTGGGTGAGGTTGGCATTAGTCTCAGCTCCGACTGTTTCTGACTGAGATCTTCCCTAATCTCTGAATCGACAACTGAAGAGACAGATGAAGAGATAATTCCAGAAGTATTTCAGGTAGTTGTCAAAGGTTTTTAAGTAGTTGATAAGATATCAGATTCAGTTTTGGTGAACGATGATGTTGATGAAATTTCAATTATACCCTCGTTGGTTGTACCATTAGATTCCGTTTCTTCGACAGGCATTCTAATTAAATCGTTAATAGCTACCTTGAGTACTGGTTCAACTGGTTAAACAGTATCTTCCCAACAGTTTGGTTATCAACAATTGACAAAACATCAAACCATTTGAATAATTTGCTGTATCAGAAAATGACCTCCAAATTTCATACAGAGGTCAAATAGCAGTTTGACCTCGAATGACCTTGGCATTCGAACTAATGGTTCTTCAATCTGCGGAAGCTCATGGTTAAAGTCTGAGGTCTGTAACTTTAACCGTTTGTGAGTTAGAACTGCAAACGCGTAAAATGAAAAAAATATCCGATATAGTAAATGCGACTCAAGTTGTATTAATTTTGATATCAATTTTTCGCGAAAACTATTCATCAGAAAAATCTTTACTATCAATAATATAATATATTCAGTTTTTATCATCCTAAAAGCTTATTAACTTCCAATTTTTTATCTCTGTTAGTTTCTACGATTTTAAATTATTGAGCATTTTTAATCAATAATTTAATTCGTGGGGGAAATTTTCAAAGAATGATTAAATTAAATCAAAATTGAAGTATGTTACAATTTGATGAAATTATTAGGCAAAAGATTACAGAATCCAGCAAAATTGAGCTTTTAGCTGTTTCTAAGGCCCTGAAAGGGACTCACTGCACAAACTCATGCTTTAATTTTATTCATTAAATATCTAGATATCTCTATGATACCGATTCTATACCATTTTTAATATCATGAAACACTGAGTTTTATTCGCATGGGTTGTGAGTCGTACTGTATATGAAAATCTTCCAAATTATTAACATAATTGCATTTGAGAATCTTAAATCTCCAAAGACGGAGTTTGCCGAATTTCATACGAACTTTACGTGAACAAGTGGTTAGTGTAATTGATAACTTTGCTAAACGTCATAAGTTGAGTTATACATTTTGGGGTTAGCGTTCGAATCGCGCCAAGTCCTGAGGCTGGGCGAATTGTAGTAGCAACCACCAAACCTCTGAACTAGACACCTCTTCCTCCCTCTTTGGATTCCCAGCTAAACTGGATAAAGCCTTAGATCCAAACCACTTAAGTAGCATTGGGTCGACAGCGTCTTAAAGCTGTCTCGGCTAGCCAGTCAACCAACATCAAAAAGAGGTTTTACTGTAAATGAAACATTACCAGGCATAAAGTGGAATATTATGCCTGCATGAAATCTTGCAGCATCTGAAATTCATATAATATTTAGTACATTAGTGTATTATTGAACACTTTTGTGTCCGAAGACTTTCCTTTCAACCAAATTCTCAGTTACATCAATTCACATGGCACACATTAGGTAGGTGGAGGTTTTGATATGAACTATTTTAATCATTTGAAAAGATTATTAACAAATATTTATTAAATATAAAAATATGGATTCGAGATGAAAGTTTTTATAAACGCCTTTGCTGTTTAATTAACGAGATTGAAGTTAGTCTTTCACTAATGTAATGTCCTATGATACCAATTAGCTGAAGACCGTTTGATTGTTTTGTTAACGTTTGTTTGTGTTTGCTTTTTAATTGCCATCATACTAATTAAACTTACAATCAACATTAAAACCATTTGATTCATTGTGGCAGAATGATTAAAACTCATTTCATTTTATTGCTTCTCATTTCATCCTTTAAAGGTAAGCCTTTGACATGATCTTAAACCTGTTAAAGTACATGTATATAGCGAATTAACATTTGCTTAAGACGTTTGAAGTTGATTAATTTGTTTCAAGAATTGAAATTGAATCAATTTAAACCGCAAGATTACGTTTACCCATCAACCAGATTCATTGAAAACAAGACAACATTTTTCTTATTTTTTTAGAAGCTTATTTCTGGTTCATTTTAGTTTGAGAATGGAACAGAATCAATTTATATCTATTTAATCGCAATAGAAGATGAAAATTGAAAGCTCATGGGGCTAATCAGAAGTTAATTTGAATCAAAGAAGTAAACCTCAAAGCAAATTCAGGTAGCTAAAAGGTCAAATATTGAAACTTACAACTTGTAAGTTACAAGTTACATTTTTAGATACAATATTGTTTTAAGTTTCATTGTTTATGTATTTGACTGAATTAATCGATAACTGATTAAATTAACGTGAAGCGTAATTGGTGATAGTGGGAACAATAGAAAATCAATAAAGATAAAAAACAGTAGATGAGTGGAGTAACTCGGTAGCAAAATAGAAAAGTGGGAAAATTCTGCTTAATTCAATTTGGTCTAAATGCATACTGAAGTTTCGATGAGCTCAGATAACAAGATAATTAATCGAAAGGTTGATCACGAGGTTGTCACAAGACTGATTGAAAGATACGATACATGGAAGATGTTGAAGTGAGGTTACATTTCGCTCACCTTTTGATTTTCGGTATCTTTGTAGGAGGACTTTTGACAAACGTTCAAATATTGGAATGTAAATTTACTGACAATTTCTGTCAATGGGAAGATCAAGGTTGGGTTCTGGGCAATTATAGTTTACCTGGGTTTGGACAACCAGCTAAGCAAATTGACAATGGTAAGAAAACATTTAACAAACAATATAAAATGTAATTCATAGAAACGTATTTTGCACGTTCAATTTTCCTTGTAATTGATACATTTTATTGTATTTAGGTGGATTCATTTATACCCAAAGTCCAACCAAGCGAAGTGTTCTAGAGTCACCAATATTACATGATAAAGAACCCTTTTGTCTGTACTTTAATTATTTCATGTTTGGTTTATCAGTTGGATCTTTAGAGTTACAATTAGAATCGGTAATTGGAGCTGATGTCTCAAAGTTTAACCAAACTGGGCAAAGTGTTTGGAGACAAGAAGGATCCAAATATGATGATTGGATCCTTGGTAAATATCATTTTGATCCTTCACAGCAAAATGGTGACATGTTTAGGTTAAAGTTTGTAGCAACGTCAGACGATATTGCTTTAGGTTCAATTTTAGTTAAACCTGGTTCTTGTGATTTTGATTTTAAGTGTGATTTTGAAAATCCATCTTTATGTTTTTGGTTGGTTGAACCTGATTATCAAAGTAATTTCCGATTGTTTGTGTCGAATGGATCAAACTCTCAACATGATTTAGTTGGTTTCGATGCAACAACTAATACTGAAGCTGGTCATTTCGTGAGAACTCCAACAAATGGATTTGTTGGTTCATCTAGTGATCTAATCTCAACAATTTACTTATCATCTAATGAAGCCAAATGTTTATCCTTTCAACTTTTTGAGCAAAAATATCCTTCGGACACTCTTCAACTTGGCATTCAATCTATATCAGGATCTCGCTCTACCGTCTGGAATCAACCATATGTTAATAATCAACAATGGGTTAAAGTTAATGTAGACTTACCTCCTCTGGATGATTACATTAAACTAATTCTTTCAGCCTATCGACACACGGAAAAATCAACTCCAGTAGCGATAGATGAATTGGCAGTGAGCCCTGAACCTTGCTCATCTCATGGTTCATGTAACTTTAATTCTGGTTTATGTGATTATACAATTCAAAGCGGGGAACTACTGGTTGGGTTTGGACGACTACCTTATCCTGCGGCAATCGATTGGACACCACTTAAAAATATTGACCCATATGATTTATTTGTTTATACAAATACACAAAAAAATGATGAGTTGGTTTCGTACTCATTGGAAAGCCCTTTTATGGACCGAAGTCTAGGCAAAACCTGTTTATCTTTTTCGTATGCCTTAACATTTAGCCGAGACGGAAAATTTTCAATAAAATTGACTTCAAATGAGGCATCAGAAAGCAAGACAGTTTGGTCATTGAATCCTGTAGTATCAGAAGAAAAATGGAAAACAATGGAAATACCTTTATCTGATTCTGGTCAGCTTGTTAAATATTCATTTGAATTCAGTGGAGTTCAACTGTTTGCAGCTATCGATGATATTGTGGTTAACTATTGTGAACATCAAGAGACTCCTGCTTGCATTCATGATGGTTTGATTGATCAAAAATGTGTCAAAGTTGTTCCCTCTGCATTTAACAATTGGGTTTTCAAAAACCCCAGTCAATTACCTAAAACTTCAGAACTTGATTACAAATTTAAAAACGACTTTGTTTTATTTTTCGATGAACCAGTTGATTTCCGTGATATTAGTTCCTTTTCTTACTTTTACGTTTCCAATGTGAAGCCAAATGTTGAATATTGTCTAAAGTTCTGGTATTCAATCGCTGGAAATATTGAATTGAATTTATGGACTGATAAAATGGACTCAGATTTTAATCAGTATCTTCGACAAACTCCTATCGTCAAATTAAACAGTCATTCTGGTGGTGATTGGGATCAAGCAAAAATACAATTGGATGATTTAAATGAAGAAAGCAAATTAATTTTTGGTGCAAGTCAGACATCCAATTCTCATGGAACAATTATCATTGATGGACTAGAATTGACCGAAGGAACATGTTCAATTGATTATAATTATTTTTGCGACTTTGAAAAGGACTGCTCATTAAATAATCTTGATAAAGATAAATCACTCGTTTTGATTGGATCTGGTGATGAATACAAAGCAACAACGGAATGGGCCATTTTTTTGGCTAGAGTGAAAACCCCAAGCAGGGACGCAACGTTGGGAACTTCGAAAGGGCATTACATGACTTTGAAGAAAAACTATGAAACTGCGATCCTTACGTTTCCACCAATCTACTTGTCTGAAAAAACAGCTGAAATGTGTCTATCTATGCAGGTCTATCGTATTGGTAAAAATAATATTGAAATCATCACTGAACAAGGTGGAGTGTATAAATTCGTTGAAAAAGGCGTAATCGATGAAACTAGTTGGACGACTTTTCAGGCTTTAGTGAAGTTCAATCCCGATTTATCCAAAGCTGCTCGTGTTTATCTTGTTGGAAGTGGTGCACTTGCTATCGATGACATCTCTATTAAGACGGGTAGCTGTGATGAATCTCCATTTGTTTGTAAAAATGGGAAAACATTATTGGGACACCAAGTCTGTGATTTCATTGCAGATTGTCCAACAGGTGAAGACGAGCATAATTGTGGTGATTGCTCTTTTGAGGATGACTTTTGTGATTATTGGAAAGACAATCGAGCCAATTGGTTTATCAAAAATGGTCAGGCAAACGTAAAAGCCAAAGGTAAATTTTACGGCTCTTCAAAAAAAGATGCTGATCTTACTAGTCAACCTTTAAGACCAACTGCACCAACTTGTAAATTACAGATTAACTATGGAAAGGATGTTAGTGATCTTAATCAACTCAAGGTGCTATTGATGTTCCAAGATGGACATACAGTTGAAGTGTGGGACGAATCAATGTTGAAATCGATTCAGAATGGCATTGTTGAAATCAACTTAGGTCGAATACCAATTTCATTTAATCTTCACTTCTTCGCTCAGTTGAGAAGTTCACAGTCATTAAGTTTTGGTCCAGTGAAGTTCATTGACTGTGGCTACAAGGATACTATTGATAGCTTTGATTCAAGTGAAATTTATACTTGTAAAAATGGAAGGCGCATAAGTCAAGATCAAGTGTGTGATCAATCAATTGATTGTTTCGATGGTGATGATGAGTTTAATTGCGACAATTACAGGATTTACTCATTTGAAGATAGCAGTGATGCTGAGTACTGGACTAATTTATCCAATGAAAAATCAAAATGGGGTTTGGCTAAAACTGGTGATAAAGTTATCACAACACCAACAAGAGATCATTCAAAAGGACTAGAAAATTCGGGTTACATGGCTCTTTATCCAAAGTACGATTCTTTAACTGATTCTTCCGATAGAAGCATTCCGAAAGAAATTAAATTAGCTAGTCCAGAGTTAACATCAGTTGATAATTGTTCAATGGTCTTCTATTATAATACCGCTGGAGTCACTCTTTTAGTTTCACTCGTTGATGGTAACTCTAATTATACCCAGTTACATGAACTACCATTTGATGATGTTTTTGGTTTCAAACGTAAACGTATAAACCTTAAAAAGGGTGACATTTCTGTTCCATTCAATTTCGTTTTCACGGCCAAATATTCAGAATATGAACAAGGAAATTACCAAAGTAATTATTATGCTGTTATCGATGATATTATTATTAGTGATTCATGTTTTGATAAATCTGATGATCCAATTAATACGATAACATCTGACTGTCCTAAAAACGAATTCCGTTGCAAAACAGATTTTGGATCAGTTTGTCTTCAAAATGATAGATTATGTGATTACAATATTGATTGTTTGGATGGTGTTGATGAACTCTATTGTGGTCTTTGTGAGTTTGATAATCAATCTCTTTGCGGTTGGACCAATGAAGGTGAAGACGATTGGGTCGTTTTTGACAAATACAAGGGAAATAATTATAATGCTAGGATACCAGAAAAAAATAAACCAAAAAATTTTATAGTTCCAGAAAAACGTTCAAATAATCTTCGAGCTATACTTAAATCACCAAGACTTGGTAAAACCTCGCCAAACTGTCGCTTTAATTTTACATATTTCCTTGCCGATAAAGCTTCAATGACAGCTAGATTAAGAAATGATCTTGAATCAGTTACAAAAAAGGTGTTTGATTTAGACCATGCAGATGAATGGAGTGACAAGCTATTAGCGCTTGGATCACTTGACCCAGGTTATTACATACAATTTGTTTTAGATGTACAATCAACTGATGATACTAGAGTACATGGTGGACTAGGATCTTTTCAATTAGTAAATTGTGATCCCTATGAAAAACATGAGACCACTACAACCACCAAACCGGTTCCTACAGAACCTGAACAACCCATCACTGCAAAACCCACCAAAATACCTCCAAAGCCAACTACTGAACATCATGAACCAACACCTGCACCCTCAATTAGACCATCTCCTCACACTGAAGTAACTACACAGGAAAGCAAAATTCCAACTGTTCCTGAACCAACGACACCTAGTAACATAGATAAATATGTGCCGACTACGACTACCAATAAACACATCCCAACAGAAACTGAACAACCTATCTTGATAAAGTCCACCAAAATACCTACCGAGCCAACTACTGAACATAATGAACCTACACTTACACCTGCACCCTCAATCAAACCATCTACTCACATTTATGGAACTACGCAGAAAAGCGAGACTGTTCCTGGTTCAACGACGCCTAGTAATATTGATAAACATGAGCCAACTTCAACTACCAATAAACCCGTTCCAACAGAAACTGAACAACGCATCACGGCCAAACCCACCAAAATAAACACCGAGGCAACTACTGAACATCATGAGTCTACATTTACATCTACACCTATATCCTCACCTACACCCTCAATTAAACCATCTTCACAAACTGAAGTAACTAAACTGGAAAGCGAAACTGTTGCTGGACTAACGACACTTAGTAACATAGATAAACATGAGTCCACTACGACCACCAATAAGCCCGTTCCGACAGAAACTGAACAATCCATCACGACAAAGCTCACCGAAATACCTACCAAGACAACTACTGAATCTCCTGAACCTACATCTTCACTTACACCCTCAATTAAACCATCTCCTCACACTGATGGAACTACACAAGAAAACGAAATTCCAACTGTTCCTGAACCAACGACACCTCATGATATAGATATCCCTGTTACTGCTGCTAATCATGATAAAGTTCAAAAATATCAAGGAGTCACTCTTGGATCAGGTAAAATCTGATTAATCAACACACCAACTTAAATATTTACTTTAATTTATTATAATTTCTCATTCCAGCACCATTCATTTTACTGGGAGTTATAACAATTGTCTTGGGTGCTGTTTTATTAGCAAAAGGAAAAACCTGTTTAACCTTTTCATTTGCTTTTACATTTCTACGAAAAGGTACAAATACATATGAATTGAGCCATAAAAGCTAAGCCAAATAAAAACAGCCAAACTGATTATCAATCATATTCAATTAAAGCTGATTAAACTTTTCCTTTTTCATCGCTAATTCAATTTTTAAAGTTTACTTTCATGTTTTCAGATCTAATTTGTTTTATTAATATTAATAAACCAAGATTTTCATAATTTTTGCCAAACTAGTAAAAATGATACGAGAAAACAGGAACTCGTGGATGCGGGGATGTAAAAACAGTATAAAATAAGCATAAATCTATTTAGAAGGTGCTTTTGCCTCTGGTTATTGATCCGTATTTTAAATAACGGAGAAATGATCAAATTATCGAAAAATGGCCAGTTTTGCGCCCTGGCAGATCAAAATGAGTTATTTCATTGTAATTAGAATTGATTTTTACACACAAAAATCTACTATGAATGCGTTTACCTGTGGTTTTTGTTATACTCGTCCCCATGCATTTTTAAAGTTTTTTCATAATTTCTCGAAAACGAAAAATTATTTCGAAAAATGAATTCAAGTAATTAATGCAGCACAAAATTTAGCGCCTTACATGTTCATAATAATAATATTCCTTGCTAGGCAGTTTACCCTTTTCTTTGGTCTTGATCTTTTTTGAGTCTTTACTTTTTTGTTTGTCACTTTTATTACTCTTCTGGACCTCTGTCAGCCTTGGTTCTACTCAACTAAATTATTCAGGTGTAAATGATTATAAGGAACGTGAGTCTGGAAATAGTTTATTCCTACATATTTAGTTTTCAAAAAAATTGTAAAAAACCATAAAAACGGTCGATGAAAATTTCTCGAAAAATCAAATATGGAGAAAACTTGCTTTCATGTGAAACAAATGAACCATAAAATAAATTTATTTTTATGCCAACATTTTCATAATTTTTGCCAAACTAGTAAAAATGATACGAGAAAACAGGAACTCGTGGATGCGGGGATGTAAAAACAGTATAAAATAAGCAGATTATAATAGATACAGAAAAATATGCAAAATAATTGTTTACCAAAGTATCAACCTTCTTTTTTATTGACTTTTGTCTGGCTAGAAAGCTATGTTAATTTCTGCTCAGTAAACAGAGCTGACATTTCATTTTTCAAAATTTTGATCCTATTTGCTAGATGTATAGTTGTACAATCCTTGTTAAATTTACCTCTAGTTAGTCTGATAAACTAACTCAACAGTGGATTCATCCACGTTTACAATTGAAAGGAAATAAAATCTGAATAAATAATTACCAAATCAATTGTTTGGCCAAAACAGTGAAAAATTTTGTACAGATGGAGCACACAAACAAAATCAGCAGATACTGAATGGTATAAAAAGCCTCAGAAAAACGATAAAGATAACAGTTGAAAAAGTATCAACAAGAAATCAACTAAACATGAATATAAAATTAATAACATTGTGCCTCGTATCAATCGCAGCGTTTAACGTTGTTGATGCAAACAGCTTATCGAGATGGAATCCTATGAACATCGCGAAAATCCCAATGGACCTTTTTGGTAGTCATAAAAAAACAGGATCAGGATCAGCTACATCTACAGTGGCAGCAACAGCAAAACTGGAACGGTTGAAGCGGTAAAGCCAAGAACG